TTAAACTAAAGGGGGGTAGATTTAGACTAGAGATAAGGAAGAAATTTTTTACGCTGAGGGTGGTGAAGCACTGGCCCAGGTTGCCCAGAGAGGTGGTGGATGCCCCATCCCTGGAAACATTCCAGGTCAGGCTGGACGGGGCTCTGAGCGACCTGACCTAGTTGAAGATGTCCCTGCCCACGGCAGGGGGGTTGGACTAGATGGCCTTTAGAGGTCCCTTCCAACCCAAACCATTCGATGATTCTATGATATCACTGGGAACAGGCTGACTCCTCACCCCTTCCCTCTCTTATTTTGTCAGGGTTATGATGACAGGACACCGTGAGGCCCAGCTGTTTGTTGGCTTCAGGTGTTGGCTCCAGGGAGGCTGAAGCAAGTGACACTTGGCCGAAACCTTCTTAGGCACTTCTCACTTTTATAGGACATGTAGCACTGTGATACAATTGTCCTTTTAATATTAACTGAATCCAAAGAACTTCCCCAGAGGAAAGCAGTGTGAAAGGGGGGTGTCACACTGCTGTCTTCAACTACCTAGCAGAGGTAGTATAGAGTATAGAAAAGATGGAACCAGTCTCTTCTTAGAGGTGCACAGTGACAGGGCAAAAGGCAACAGGCACAGGTTGCAGCAAGGGAAACTCCAACCAGACATATGGGAAGAGAGGGCTGTGCATCAGCCAGCTCCCAGGGCCTTTATCCTCCAAGAAGGGGCAGTTCGTCCCAGAGCAGAGAAAGCCTATCCTTGCTGAGATTCCTGCAGACCTCCTGGCATACCTGGTTCAACACTGGCATCGAAGGAGTCCACCCTGCAGCTGACACCTGTGTGTGTTGCCTTCTGCACCCCCAGCTTGCCCTGCTGCCAATATGCACACAGCCCTCGCACACTCACCTCCTCCTCCAAGCCAGGGCTGACCGTGAGGTTCAGGTGCAACGGCTCTGTCTCCACTTTGATCACCATGCCACCCCCACCGCTGCTCCAGGTTTCCAGTTCCCCTTTGGGCAGCTGAAGGGACACGCAAGGCTGAGGGCAGGACTGGCTCCCCTTCTCCTCATCCTCCTGCTCTGGGTCGCTGCCCACCTCTGTGGCGTCCAGGCTGAACCTAATTCAAGGAAGAGGAACAAGGCAGTTTAGCAGGCCTGTCTCATTGTGCCAGGCACGGCACAGTCCCTGCAATGTCCTAGCCTCGGGTGGACAGTCCTAAAGAGCTCATGCAACTGGAACAAGGAGGGTCACCACAGCAGGCACATAGAAAAGGAAATGCCCTGAAGCGTCAGCCTGGACACCAAGTCCTGAGCCTGTTAAAAACAGCTTCTCTGGCTGCCATCAGTGAGTCCATGAGCTCCCTGGTCACCCGGGATGTTTAGTGCTGGATGGCTCTCGCTGATCTCTTAGCAACCCCTGAGACTGAGCAGCCACCCAGACAGCAGACTGCCTCGCCTGCATGAGAGCTCCTGCCCTGTTAGCTGCATTGCCAGGAGAAGTCCCTCTGGGCATTTAGAAATGGCAGATGTTGTCGTTTAGCAAATCATCACTGTGGCATCATGTCACAAATCCTGCTCCCACTGGGGCCCAGCTTCGAGGAAGGAAAAAGAAATCCTTTTCTGGGAAATGAGGGATCGACCAGCTACCCCAGTGCCCCACGGTTTCCTGAACACCAAGTACTGTTGCAGTGCCAACAACATAGGAGCAAAATGATGGATAGGGCTCGGTGGAAAATCTTACTCTCTGCATGGGTTCTGTCTGCAGATCACTGTCACTTCATTCCTGCTGCCAGACACAGGCTTCAGGAAGCATTTGCTTAGGGGACAGTGGGGCGTATTCCCCTTCCCTGGCCCCGTGCTCACACACGCTTAATCACCCAGCGAGGGGACCGAACAAGTCCCTGACACTGACAGCCACTCTGTGCCGCCGTTGCTCATGTGCCTGTTACACAGCATAAACTGTGAATGATCCACAGCACATGGAACAACAACAGGTCTGAGAACCAAAGTCTGAGCTTGATAAAGAACTGCCAAGATTTCAGGCTGAGATAATTTTAGGGTACCTTATAAGGAGGAGAGATAAAAATAGTTCTGCTGGCTTACACCTAACTCCCAGTCATCCGGGAGATCAATACATTTGTCAGCAGGGAGAGCACGCATGTAGGAACCCAGAGCCCAAGGCATTCATGTGGCAGGAGCACAGCACGGCAGTAATGCCAGGCCTGGAAACCGCTCCCAGCCAGAGCTCGGCATCATGCTACAAAATACACTCTCCTCTGCAGCCACGCGGAGGACAAAAGGCCGGAGGACACTGCGGTGATTGCAGGCACAGGCCCCACCAAGCCGACTCACAGACAGGAAGAAAAAGATTTTGACAGAGCTCTCTTAATCCCTCTGGGGTGGGCAAAGTTCCCTTTGAGCCAGAGGATGGAGGCCATCAGGGCAGCTGATGCTGTTCAAGGTTCCCTCCAGACAGAAACGAGCTTTCCCCAGATGAGAGATCCTCCTCCCGGCCCCAAGACCAGGAAAAGACGGTCTTCCTACTGCCAAGGAGATATTAAAGCCTCTTGCTGCCCTAGCATCTGTTCCTCCACATCCCACCCAACATGAGCAGTAGGCGTCCAGCTGCTTTGGCAGATGCTGACAAGGGAGGGAGACCACCCAGCAGCAGCTAGAGCTCAGGGCAGGGTGATCGCTCCAGCCTCACGCAGCATCATTGTACCGTATATAACAAATGTTGCTCACAATCCTGCTTTACCTGCGCTTGCTGTCCACGGGTGATAAAGGGCTCCCCCAGCTGTGCCTCCGAGAGGTAGACATAGATCTCACCAGTGTGGGGAAGGACTCCGTGGCCTCCTGCAGCTCCAGCTCTTTGTCTGCCTCTGCAGGACACTCAGAAGAGCTGGTACCATCTTCCGACACTGCTGCACAGGAGCAAATGCGGCCTTTGTTCAGAAAGCGGCAGTCGGCCTCGCCGTAACGTACCGAGCAGGAAACGGGATTGGAAAAAGCAACATCCACAGACATTTTGCTCAGAGCCCCTGGTCTCTCTTCCAAAAAGCGAATGGCAGACACAGCCTGGGTGGCTTGTTCTGGCTGTGCTGCCATCTCTGGCGCTGTTTTGGCAACTGGTGGGCTCAGGAGTCCCAGATCTCTGTAATACTCCGTGCCATGGAGAGCAGAGTCTGAGAGGAGATCCTCCATGCTGCTGTGCAAGTCCGCTGCTGGGACATCCAGCTCTGTGGAAGATGAGTCCTCCTGCAAAGGCAGCGACAGCTTAGCCTGAGTGCACAAATCCCATCTGAGAGCCTTGCACACATCCTGCGAAGGGGACACCTCCCGTGCAGAGCTGAAGCGGCTTTGCTTTCCTTTCTCATGGCAAACAGCCCACCTGCAGCTAGCGGGGCCAGGCCTGCAGCTGGGCTTCTCAAACCAGACTTTCTAATAGTAGCACTCTCCTACTGCACCTCGCAGCCAGACCTGCCCCAGCCCCAGCAGCTTGGCTTCCTCCAGTCCCTGAGATCTCTCTGTGCCTTATTCCCCCAAATGCCGATGCAAAGCACAGACGTATGTTTTTTCCCAGCAGGAGAAGCAATATAACCTTGTATTCCTTGATAGTCTGGATTGGTACCCCTTTCCCCGGTCTTTATTGCACCACAGCCCCTCTGAATATGGTGCTGACCACCCAGTTTGCTGACCCTGGCTCCTGCCTCGCACAGTGGTAGTGGAAGGAAAAAGGACACTTGCCTTTTCTTCAGCCATGCTGGTGCAGAAGGTGTCATCCTCAGCAATCAGGGATGGGAGGAAGCTTTTTGGGTTGTGATACTCCAAAGCAGGGGTGCTGTGGTCAGTGAATTCCCTTAAGCATGGCTTGCAGTCGGACCCTGCAAGACAGAGAAGGTCACAGCATGTGAGAAGATGGCCAGGAGGGATGTAAAATCAGCCACACACACAGAGGTGACATCAGGCAGCACTGAAATGCTCCACATGGCCCTCTGCTCCCTCGCCCCTTGAAGACAGGCACTGCCAGGCAATCTCAGGACCTCGGCAGCCTTGATCCTGTGGGAACCTGGTGTAGGGTTCTCCTAACAGCAGAAACTTCATCCCTCGAGCCATGGCACATGCAAGGGCAGAGACCAGGCTTGCACCATCCCAGCCAGACACTCGTAGGATGTCCTGTGCTGCAGAGGCTGCTCCACAGTAAAACAGAAGAGTTAAGCATGTTTTGATGGCTGTTATTGATATTATGGACCTTTAAAGCAGAAATCTGTGAATAAAAATACTGACAGTGATTTTATTTTCATCTGTAAGGAATAAAGGATGCCACTGGGAGGCCAAATTGGAGGCACATTAGTGATTCCAGACAACACTGAATATGCAGAGCAATAGCGGGAGCGCATAATTCTCCTGGTGCCGGCTCACTCGTGGATTTTCCCCACGCAGGAGTGCTAAGCGAGTGTGAACCTGAGTGTGTGTACACCATCCGATAACTCATTGAGGAACAAAAACAAGGTCTGGAAGTGCTTCATGGTACAATACATCGTCCAGCTGACTGAAGCACATTCCTATGTAACGAGACACACTGTAAATGTTAGCCACGATCTCTAAACCATCGCATGACTCACGGAGGCCTTTTATTCCTTCGAGATACATACAGCTGAGGCGAATGGAAAAAAGCCAGGCTGTTGGCTGAAGCACAGTGGTGGATCTCTGAAGATGCAGAGAACAATAGCAAGAGACTGTAAGCGGCCATATCTAGCCAATGGGAAAAAACAGCAAGAAACTGCTAGAAACCCATCATACTCCAGGAAAGCCAAGTATAAAAAAATTAATATGAGGAAGGTATTGTTAAAAAACACACTCTTGGAAACCTTGCATCCTGCTGCAGGTTTTAATGCTACGCAATGCGTGGTGCCAACTAGAAAAAGGCAGCAAACGTGAGGGAGAGTTTGGAGGTTTGTTCCTTGGATCCTGCTGCACACTGCAGATGCCAGATTTTCTGTTTCAAGGAGGGTTTGGTGTGTTTAAATGTGTGCAGTAATTTCAAGTGAAGGCCTATAAATAATATAGAAAGAAAACACTCTGTGAAAGCACTATTTTAATTACGGGTTTTCTAACTATAAGAGCAGGGAAAATTTGAAACAGGCTTTCTAGCAAGGCTGTAGAATTTACTTCACAAGACATTTTTAATTAATAGACGAATTCCTGCCCAGGATGTCCCTGAGCCACATCTATAATGCTCTATCTGTAAAACTGGCAGAGGTTCAGTGAGCTATTGAACATCACCTTTTGCTTTCCTCAGATGCACCTGGATTGCCTCTATTCAGCTTGCAATCAAAAAATCAGCATCTTGAAGTGAATACACATTTGAACGAGTGCAGGTTTTTGCACAAGCTTGTAGGAAACTGGGCAGCCGAAGATGTCAGCAGGCAGTAAAAGCCACTGAACCCCCAAAACAGGCTGGGATGAAGGCTAAGGTAGAATGGACCCAAGGGGAGCAACCAGGTGGTGGTGAGGGTCCCAGGGGAACGAGGACAAATGGTGCTTCCCCTCATACAAGTCCAAGGAAGGAAGGAAAAGGAGATTCCCTGCCCTTGCCATCCCTTGCAGCAGCGAACTACCCACAGAGAAGGCAGCAAAGCCCCAAGAGGCGGCAGGGATGTAGCTGCAGGAGCTGACAAGCGCTGTGGCCTGACAGAGGCCAGAGCCCTGGCCTGCAGGTTTAGCTAAAACAAAGAGGTTTTTTCCTCCCAAGCAGGGTCCGGCCGTCCTGCCAAGGCTACGCTGGGCCTGCACCAGGCTCCAGCCTGCAGCTCTGAAGTGGATCCCTGGAACAGACTCAGCTCCTCAGAGGCCTGGAAAATATTCCCTGTGCTCTGCCTGTGCCATGCAGGTCTCAGGATTTGGCCAAGACATAGGCTGCAGTTAACAGACCCCCTCCAGGCCCACCAAACGACTTATATCCTCCTCGGAGACTTCAGACACTCCCGTTCAACACGCGATAAATCAGTTTTGCAGCCAGCCTCTGGTGAACTTGCGGCAGTGGCTGTTAGGCAGCAGCACGCAGCGTGCATGGGGCTCCAGCCATGGGGAGACCATTTTAGGCAATGTGTGAGCACCAGACACAACATTTCAGGGCTCCCCGCATCAACCCAGCCTCAGTCGGTTGATGTTGGGCTGGCGCCATGTATAGAGACGAGCTGTGTGGACTTTTCGGCAAGGGTGGCTGCAGTCGGTTGAGTTGGGCTGGCGCCATGTATAGAGACGAGCTGTGTGGACTTTTCGGCAAGGGTGGGAGGGGCTCACGGGGGACGGGGGAAAAACGCTTTCCCTGTGCTCTGCCTGTGCCATGCAGGTCTCAGGATTTGGCCAAGACATAGGCTGCAGTTAACAGACCCCCTCCAGGCCCACCAAACGACTTATATCCTCCTCGGAGACTTCAGACACTCCCGTTCAACACGCGATAAATCAGTTTTGCAGCCAGCCTCTGGTGAACTTGCGGCAGTGGCTGTTAGGCAGCAGCACGCAGCGTGCATGGGGCTCCAGCCATGGGGAGACCATTTTAGGCAATGTGTGAGCACCAGACACAACATTTCAGGGCTCCCCGCATCAACCCAGCCTCAGTCGGTTGATGTTGGGCTGGCGCCATGTATAGAGACGAGCTGTGTGGACTTTTCGGCAAGGGTGGCTGCTTGGAGGGGCTCATGGGGGAAAAACGCTTTCAAGCATCAGGTTCTGGCGCGACAAGCAAGGTAAGACCAGCGTGGAGCATGCACAGGAGGAAGGCAGGTCTGAGGGGCTGTGAACATCCCTACATCCACGATCGAGCTGGTCACCCATGTATAAGCAAGTATGGCAAACTCTGGAGCCTCTCGAGTCTCCTGGACTCTGCGCTTGAGCTTGTTTGAAAGGACCCATGCTCCGTCTAGCTGCGGTGTGGTGATAAGGGGACCGGATATCTTAGCTCCCCAGGCACCGGCAGACAGCAGCGTTCACCTTTACTCAGCTGAAGCTGGAAATGGGATGACAAAATGACACTTTCAAGAACATACGCTGTTTGCTTTACGGGAACATTAAGCAGATTAGGTATTGCAGTTGCTTAATTCGCCTCTGGCTGGGAACCATAAAAGGTTATTGCTGCAGGGATCAGCCTCATCAGAGGAATTCCCAGGGCAGAGCTGGGCAGGAAGCGTCGCTGCCTGGGCCGGGCAGGTCCCTGCACACGAGCAGGGCTCTGCTGCACTTTGCCAGAGCTTCCCGGCAAGCGAACCATGATGACTCTGGGCTCCTGCGTGGGGAGGAAGGAAGTAGTGACAGGCGTCCACTGCATGTGACAGTCTGGGATGGTCTCGGGGGTTTTGATGCCGTGGGGACAGTGGGATCAGCCAGCTGAGTTGATTGGTCTCAAGGAAGAAAACTCCATGCTGCTATAACTGTGTGCAAGGCCACTGGGAGCCCAACAAAGATTTAAATACTTCCATTTCAGACCTACAGTCGAAACCTCCCTCCTGCAACTGCCTCTGCTGATTTCCCTCGGACGGGCCAGTCACTGGAGACGCACCCGCAAGTATCACAGTGGGAGAGAGCACCAGAGCAGCCAGCGCTGGAACAAGCTCTGCCAGCAGTGGCCCATCCTCACCTGCCTGCTCCACTGCCCAGCGCAGGATGCTGCAGGTCCCTGAGTGACCCTGGAGCCAGGCTGGCGCTGGCAGGGGAAACATCAGAGGAAACATGGATGCGAGCTCTCGCTATGCAGGTCACATCCTCCAAGCATCAAACACTCTCTGCATTTCCACTGGGGAAAGGCCACACCAAATGTGGCGGGACAAGGGCACTAGTCAGTTCTGCTACGTGAAACAATCCCAGGAGGAAGGAAAGACCAGAGCGTCTGGGCATTTCCCAGCAATCAGGGGTAGAGACTGTGGGGAAACGACGGAGAGCATCATGGACAAGAAACAAAAAGTATTCAGTCTCCTCCTGGCTCCTGCCCTGCTGGCCCCGCACCAGCTGCCCTTTAGGTACCGCCCTGCAGGGTGTCCAGAGCTATAGGGTAAAACGTCTGTAAAGCAAGTGCTAAACTTGCTGTGCTAAAATCGGATGAAGTGCAGTCCTTTGCCTGGTCTGGGCCCCACATCATGGGCCGTTGGCAGCGGTGGGGATTGGCTCATGCGGCCCAGGCTGGAGGAGGGGAGAAGATAAGCTGTCCAACACTGTAACATACTGTACAGCGAGCGGCTGTCTTATCGCTGCATTTGGGGCCTGGTTTTTGGGCATGAACAGCCAGGGGAGTGGGGAGCCAGCACAGTCCTCAGCTCACTCTCAGCTGAAGGGTCTTGGCAGGGCTGAGAGGGATTTGCAGCCCCTCTGATACTTTCCAAGTCACAAAAGTCACCGTGCAGCTTCCTCCAGTGACTCTGCCGGGCACTGAGGGAAGGTCCCGCGCAGACCAACGAATGCCACGGTGCAGAAGCCAGTGCCAGGAGAGGAGCTGAGCAAGACCCGAATGTTTTGTCCCCACAGCAGAAGCCCCAGCAGGACAAACTGCTCTGCGAGCACATGCTGGGGGGAGAGGAGTCTACCGAGACACTCTCCAAAGCAACCAGTGCTTGCAAGCACTGCGAGGCTGATTTATTTATTAGAGAAATTAGCCCACCTGAGCCTTCCCAGTGAGCCCCAGCAGGCACAGCACTGGTAAGGCTGGAGTGGGGTGTCCTAGCCGGGGCTCGGGGCTCACCGCAGATCAGAGCCTGCATGACCCTGCCTCCTGCTCTGAATTAACCTTCCTTTGACTGTTCAGTTTGTATCTTGGTCTCCTGCACATCCACATCAGAAGAGAACTGGGTGGGGAGGGAGGAATAATGAGGGAGAAAGAGTGTCAAGAGCTCTAATGCCACTGATAAAGGTACCCGAAAGCATCAGTCTGAAGGCAGTGTTTGCAGGCAAGGACAGCAGTGCCCAGCTCCTCTGGGACTGCAAACATCCCGCTTCCCGGGGCTCTCATTTCCCTCTTTCCAAGTCACGGCACTGCATGCAGGAATGAGGCCAGTTCACACCATAGCTGGCGTTTCCCGTCCTTGCTGTCGGACACTGTGAAGCTCAGCCAGTGCCACACAAACAACCACAGCTCAGACTGTGCTCCGAACACAAGGGCTCTGCTCGTCAGTCCTCTCTGAAAGACTGGAGGAATCTTTTCCTCAGCATCTGCTCAAACACCAAACTCTCGACATAAGCCTCAGCCCTCGCCAGGCAGCCGTGCAGAGACAGCTGTCTGCAAACACCGGGACCTCCAGCTCACTGGCAGCAATGAAACAAATTTATTACAAAACCAGAAGGCTGATGTTTAACCCATTACCCAGCTCCTAAAAGCATTAATGTGCCTTGAAAAGAAGATGAAACGGAAGGAAAAGCGATAACCAACACTTATGCAGTGTCCCCTGCAGAGAGGAGCGGGGTGCACTCAACACCAAGCTCTGCCCGGGGACCCCAGCGCTCTTTGCTACCTGCTCGTCCGGGACAGGCTCTGCCGCCCGCCCTGCAGCAGCCCAGCTCCCGACACACGGCTCAGTCCGCTCTCCCTATGCAAAGGCCATTACCTCGCTTAAAGGACCATCTCTTCTTCCAGCGCCTCGAGAACGACGGCCAGGAGTGGTTGAGCAGGGAGTCTGACATTTGGGAGCCCTCCGAGCCCTGTGCAAGGTATAACCCCAAGCAGGAGACGACAGCACAGAGCACGGCAGAGCTCAGCGCGGTCTAAGGCAGCACTGCAGGCTGCAGCCCAGGGGCTGCCAAGGGGGGAGTGGAGGAGCCAAGTGTTTTGTCAGAAGTATCAGCTGATGGAAGCTGTAGCCAGAGAGTAATTCCTGGTCTCTGGCGTTCCCACCTGTGTGATGGGTCAGTGACTTCCTACAGCGGGGCCCCAGGGATTAGTGGCCCCGAAGCACACACAGCCCCTGAACGCTGCTCGAGGCTTGCAGATAGAAACAGAAAACAAGCTGTTAACACACCATAACCCCCTTCCCCTCTCTGCCAAAACCTCCCTTTTCCATTCATGACTATCAGCTGTCAGCCTGATAAACCATCACCTTTAAGGCAGTTCTGCAGGGGCAGAACCTTCACCTTCAATGTAGGGTAAGAGTTAAGACCACAGGCATGATATTTGCACCTTTGGCATCGTTTTCAAGTGCCATGGCAGAGCCTCTGCAAGGGAAAGCGCGAGACCCTGTCTGTCTGCAACGTCAGCATCATCTTGCAGCTCGCAGCAAGTCCCCGTCCCCTGGCAAGGACCTTTCTCCAAGCCATTCTCAGCTCTCCCATGCAGGGAGGCAGGTGGCAGCTATCTCAGCTATCTCCAAACTGCCCCAAGAGACCAAACTCCCCACCCTGAGGTCTCCAAGCCCACTGCTCCTGGTTGGCACCGGCCCCACAGCCCAGACTGGCTCCAAACTTTGCTCCCAACCCCTTGATTAGGCTGAAGAAGCCAAGTTTTACCCCTGTGCGGCTGCCGGGCTCCTGGGCCAGACTGAACCTTCTCCCTGCTGTTCAGCTTACGCTTGCGACCTCGCTGAGCAAAGCCCAGCCAGTTTGGGAATGGTCACAGGCACCTCCGCAGCATGGACCCCACGCTGGGCTGGTGTTATGCAAAGGCAGGTGGCGACGAGCATTTCCCTCGCCTGGCCACAAACCCCAAAGTGTCATCTGCCCAGCACAACCCTCCCCACATCCCCTCTGCTTCGATCTCCCCGATAATACGGGTGCCCAGCCCTGGAGTGGGACGTTTAGAGAGGTATTTGGGGGAGCCAGGCGCGGCCCCCTCTTGTGCTCAGCCCAAACCCAGCTGTGGGCAGTGCCAAGGTGTCCTTGCAAACCTTCAGCTGTGGCACAGCAGCAGCAGGAGCCAAGAGCAGCACCCGTAGGGTGTTCAGCCACCCCAGCACTGCCCCAAAGGCAGCCACGGGGACACGCTGTGGATTAAACCCTGACCTCGTCTCCTCCTCTTCACTCGCAGTAGAGTGAATCTCCTTGTAGGCTGAGGCTCCCCAGCCCACATTTTGCCTTCAAACGTGCGCAGGGGGGAGGCTGGATGAAACCCGGCACTTGGACTTTCGGCTTCAAGACAAGCTGCTTCCTCACAAGGCCTTGAGGAAGATGAGTGACAACCCCGTTGTGGTGGGACGGAGCTCGTACAGAGAGTGACTTACCCTGAGGGCTGGAGGCATCTCTCTGGTGAGTTCCCCATGCACACTTGCACCTGACAGCCCCGGCTTCTTCTGCAGCTGCTGGAGCAAAGCGAGAAGCGGAGACTCATCGGGGAAGCAGCAGCCATGCGGCTGGTTTGCTCACGGGGGCCTCCGGCTCAACCATCTCACCGCTTCCCCTTTCCAACGGCACAAACAAACCTGCCTCTCCCATGCTGCAGTTCCTTTGACGGCGGCCCCGGTGCTGCCCTGACGCTCGCTCCCACCCTTGTGGGGGTCAGGGCTCTGGGAGGGTCCAGCAGAATCGCCTGGGGGGTCGTGGACCCCGAAGCACCTGGTGCGGTGGCCCGGAGAGCCACTGAACCAGCGATGGCTGCAAGGACAGCAATTGCCGCAAACTGCTTCCTGTTCCGTTCAGAGAAAAACCGCTTTGTGTGTGCTGTGAGAGCTTGGCACACAGGGGCTGCGCCCGCAGGCTCGTGGCACCATCGCTCGTTAGCCTCCTGCCAGGGGCAGCGAGGCCTCGCGCAGCGCTCCTGTTAACGCAACCTTCGTCTTTGCTGTCATGGGTTGACCTCGGGCGGTGACAGAGACCCCGAAGCCCCACAGGTCTCAGTCTTACACGGGATGAAGTGATAGCAAAGCACAGAAACGCCCGTGCTGGCTATAGTAATCCGTGCAGGTGATGTAATGAAATTACATCACCTAAAGCTGGTGAATTGGGAAAGTGGTCCTCCTGCCCTCGCCGTGTGCGGTCCGGCAGGCAGAGCCCCGGCACGGCCATTCGCTCCTTCCCAGCAAGCCCTGTGGGCTGATGAGCGCACGCTCCTCGTCCCACTGCCCCGAGCACACGCCAGCCCCAGCCAAGCCCTAATCAGAACAAGATCCGCTCACACTCCAATTACTCAGAGACCGCAGCTTTGGCAGCACTTGGAATAGCAATTCCCTCGTGCTCCAGGAAACCACAAGAGCAAAGAGGAATTAAGGTTTAATTTCTCCGAAGTCCACGAGAGCTCGATTAGTATCAGAGATCAGGGCTGCTCCTAAATACCGGGCAGCTGCCCCGGCTGAGGGGATGGTGAGTTGTCCTCAGCTCAAATGAGGACGAGATCTTCTCCTCCTGCCCGGTGTCTGATATGCTTTGGGGGTTACCGAAGTGGAGCTGTGGACACAGCCTGAAAGAGCGATGAGGGATAACGGCACGAGGGCTGGCCGAGCCTCGGCAGCCTCTCCCCAGCATCCCAGAGAGCCAGCAGGCAGCAAACCTCCCGTGACAGCAAGTTCAAGTTTTGTGGCTTTGCTTAATTTTGCATTTTAGGATCCCCAGAGAACAAGCCTGTGCCGGAAGAAGCAACTCCAAAACATCTTAAAGTACCAGTTTGTTTCTCATCACTCTCACGGTAAGAGAACTCCAGGTGGGCTTAGAAAAGAGCTGAAGTCCAGCTGAGCTCCTTGGTGTGCCCGAAACAGGCATGGGGCGGCGGGCAGAGCAGGGCCAGCTCCGGTCGCCTTGTCCAGTCCAATGTTCAGAGGCACTAGGTGGCATCAGCACCGCACACTTTCTGTTCAACCAGCAGCATCATCTCCCTCCCAGCCCTGGGCTGAGGAAAGAGTTACTGGAACTTGTCAGGGACAGGGGCGAGGCGCGCAGCGAGGATTCGCCTCCACCCCTTCGAAAAAGAGGCACTTTTTGCAAAAAGAAAATCATGCTACTCCCTTCTATAACAATTCATTGCATGAGTGTCAAAGGATATCCCTGGGTCCCCTCCTGAGGGGCAGGTTAGGCACGGTGGAGAGCAGAGCTCCATGCGGGTGCAGAGCAGCCCCAAACCGCGCGGCAGCACATTCAGGTCGAGCAGGGAACGACCATCGCCAGGGCCGAGGCGTAAAGAGCCAGGGCTACAGCGCAGGCTGTCAGCCAGGGAGCTGGGCAAATCGTGCTGTGGGTGGACAGAGCCATGGGGAAGGAAATATTAAGCCAAAACTATTAATTCCACCAGCTGCATTGCTGCACCATCCTGCCCGGCCATCAGCCCCCGCGAGGAGCCTGCATCGGCAGCAGCTCCTGCAGACACGGGCGGTGGCAATCCCAAGGCTACGAGGAACAACGCAGCACTGAACGATTTTACTGAATGGAAGGAAAGCAGGATATCTTAACTTGAGTGGCTAAATACAATGAGAAGAAAAATAGCAACAGTAAGTCCCCCACCTCGTTGGCGCAGCTGATCAGGAAGGAAATCTCACCTCTGGTGAAACAAAAGAAGATTTAAGTTAGAAAGATTTTACACCTCCGGAGCGGCCTGCTGCAGAACAGAAGGTGAGACGGTTCCTGGTGCGAACCCGGTTACAGCTGCTCAGCCGCAGGACAGGGATGAAGCAGATCCTCCGACTTTGTTATTTTTTAAAACTGCCCGTGCAGGAGTTTGTCCCGCTACGGGGAGGGAAGCCTGGGTCCGCGCACGTGGAAATAACAGAATTACATTGCAGAGAAGCAGCTCGCGCTGTTTCAGGCAGCAGGAATCCCTTTACCAATGTTTACCTGATGGCATCAGGCTGCCGAGAAGCCCACGGTGAGGACACCGCCCAGCACGGATCGCCCAAGCCATCAGGCGGAGGAGTTAAACCGGCTTCAGACCACAAGCCTATAATTGGCAGATCTGGGTTGGGTTTTTTTTTTTTTTTCTTAACACCATTCATTTTGCAACTGAAAGTATTGCTTATTCCAAGATACGAATTTAGTGCTTTCTCTGTGGTAAAGCGCACAGACAGCAGACACAAAATGAGCAGAGTTATTCTTGGATAATTTATTCAGAATTTCAATATAAACAGTTAATTGTTCAATAGTCTGACACACAGCAAGATTTTTTTTTTTTTCTTAATATTCAAAGATATTTTCTGTACATGTCACTGCTTGGCTCTTATATACGAAAACATTGAAAAAATAAATCAAGGGGGAAGGTTTTTCTTTTTTTTCTTCCTTTTAAAAAAAAAAAAATCATGGCACATTTGATCCTTTATTTCAAACAAGAGGTATCTGCAATGCTATTTGTATTCTGGAACCTCAGATATGCAGAGAGAAAGGTGGGAGCAGCAAGATTAGACAGGAAAAAAAAAAAAAAAAAACTTCACAGAACATCACTTAACACGTAACTGAAACTGTCTTTAGTTTGTTTAATTCCAAGCAGAAAGCATTTGCTTTTGGCCGCGTTTGATAAAGCCGATGTCCAGTGCCCCCATCCATTCAGGTCCTCAAACGAATAAAATCATTGCCCAAACTGAAGCAAAAGGGAACGCTTTTCCTTTTTAAATAATGTTCTATCTTTTCAGATTTAGAAGTGGCCTCTCTAAAATTCTCCATCCGCCAGTTTTCATGGGACTCGGTTACGGGAGAAGTATTCGGAAACTACGATGGTAGAAGCGTTGCTGGACGCTGCCGGCAGAATCGGGATTAACAGAAGAGCTTTGGTATCGAGT